ACATATCCTCTCCTTTTTTTGGGTTTCCTTCTCATTTACATCACCACAGTGCACTGAGTAGAGTTTTCTGTGCTAAACATTAGATTCTCATTAGTTATCTATTTGTACATAATATCAATAGTGTATATATGTCCATCCCAATTTCCCAGTTCATCCTCCCTCCCCCCTTCTCTGCCTCGGTGTCCATACATTTATTCTCTACTTCTGTATCTCTATTTCTGCTTTACAAATAAATTCATCAGTACCATTTTCAAGATTCCACATATATGCATTAATATATGGTATTTGTTTTTCTCTTTCTGACTTACTACACTCTGTATGGTAGTCCCTAGGTCCATTCACATCTCTGCAAATGACATGATGTCATTCCTTTTAATGGCTGAGTAATATTCCATTATATATATATACACACACACACCATGTCTGTTTCATCCATTCCTCTGTTGATGGACATTTAGGTTTTTTTCCGATGTCAAGCCTATTGTAAGTAGTGCAGCAATAGGCTTTCATCTTGTTTGCTCTCTTTCTCTCACTCACTCACCTTGAGGGAAGCCAGCTGCCATGTTGTGAGCTGCCCAATGGAGAGGCTCACATGACAAGCAACTGATTGTAAGTTTATATAAATCTCAATTAACAATGGTTAAATAATTTGAATAGATACTTTACCAAAGAAGATATACAGATGACAAAAAGATGGTTAAAAAAATGATTGGTTATTAGTGAATGCAAATTAAAGCCACAACAAAGTACATGCACCTATCATAATGGCTAAAATTTAAAGGATGAACAATGCCAAGTGCTCGTGAAGGTGTGGGATATCTGAAAGTCCTCATACAAATGTGAAATGGTACAGCCACTTTAGAAAACAATTAGAAATTTCTAATGAAGTAAAATATACACTTACCGTATGATCCAGAAATGAATACCTACGTATTCACACTAGGGGCTTCCCAGGTGGCTCAGTGGTAAAGAATCCACCTGCCAATGCAGGAGATGTGGGTTTGATCCCCTGGTTGGGAAGATGCCCTGGAGAAGGAAACGGCAACCTGCTCCAGTATTCTTGCCTGGGAAATCCCATGGACAGAGGAGCCTGGTGGGCTACTGTCCATGGGGTGCAAAAGAGTCAGACACAACTGAGTGACTAAACAATAACAACAAATTCACACTGGAGAAATGAAAACAGACATCCACAAAAAGCCCATGGCATTAATGTTATGACTTTATCATTACCACCAGAAACAACTCAAATGTTCACCAACTTGTGAAGGAATGGCAATAGAACAATTGTTAAATGAATAATGATTTATACAATGGAATAATCTCAGCCATAAGAAGGAATGAAATACTGATGTATACAACAATATTCATAAATCTAAATAGCATTGTGAAAAGAGAAAGAAGTCATAATAAAAAACCTAAACATCATTATGAATTCACTCATATTGCAGAAAAGGGCAAGCTTATAGAGAAAAAAATCAGGTTAGTAGTTGTCAGGGACAAGACTGGTGTGACAGGATTGTCTACAAAGGGGCATGAGACAACTTTTTGGGAGATAGAAATGTTCTTTATCTCTGTTATGCATGTGGGTACAAACTACATATGTGTTAAAACTCATCAAACTATACTCTTGAAAAGGATGACAATCATTGCATGTAAATTTTAAATGAATATGATATTTATTTAGGGAGATGCTTGAACCTTTATATTAAAAGCTTTATGAAATTCCTAGGTTTAACTTTGATCTCAAATAAATAAAAATCTAAGTTGATAAGAGACCTGTTTCAGTAGAAACAGTCAAAGATTATTTGTCTATTAGATAATGCCACAAAAATATATTCAGTGTTTATAATGTTCATTATCCTTTGAATTGCAAGAATATATTAATGAGGAAGTCAGGTAAGACTCACACCTCTTGGGTGATAGAATCTAATGAGATTATTTAGCAATAATTCTAATGCATACTTTTTATTTTTCATTTTTAGCCTCAGTGTGCAGCATGTGGGATCTTAGTTCCCCAACCAGGCATTGAACTCACACACCCTGAACTGGAAGTGTGAGGTCTTAACCACTGGACAACCAAGGAAGTCCCCTGTATTCTATTTTTATTATGGGAAATATTTGGAGGAATGGGAGCATGTAAAAAGATTATAACCTAGCTTTGTTGTTGTTCAGTTGCTCAGTCATGTCTGATCCTTTGCAACCCCGTGAACTGCAGCCCACCAGGCCTTCCCATCTTTCTCCTTCTCCCGGAGCTTGCACAAGCTCAAGTCCATTGAGTTGGTGATGTCATCCAATCATCTCATCTTCTGTCACTCTGTTCTCCTTTTGCCCTCAGTCTTACCCAGGATCAGGGTCTTTCCAAATGAGTTGGCTCTTCCCATCAGGTGGCCAAAGTATTGGCACTTCAGCTTCAGCATCTGTCCTTTCAGTGAATATTCAGGATTGATTTCCTTTATGACTGACTGGTTTGATCTTGCAGTCCAAGGGACTCTCCAACACCACAGTTCAAAAGCATCAATTCTTCAGTGCTCAGACTTCTTTATGGTCCAACTCTCACATCCATACATGACTACTGGAAAAACCATAGCTTTGACTAGAAGGACTTTGTCGGCAAAGTAATGTCTCTGCTTTTTAATATGTTCTCTAGGTTGGTCATAGCTTTTCTTCCAAGGAGCAAGCGTCTTAACTTCATTGCTGCACTCACCATATACAGTGATTTTGGACCCCAAGAAAATAAATTCTGTCACTATTTCCATTGTTTCCCCATCTATTTGCCATGATGTGATGGGACCAGATGTCATGATCTTTGTTTTTTGGATGTTGAGTCTTAAGCCAACTTTTTCACTCTCCTCTTTCACCTTCATTAACAGATTCTTTAGTTCCTCTTTGCTTTCTGCCATAAGGGTGGTGTCATCTGCATATCTGAGGTTATTGATATTTCTCCCAGCAATCTTGATTCCAGCTTGTGTTTCATCCAGCCCAACATTTTGCAGGATGTTCTCTAATAGAAGCTAAATAAGCAGGATGACAATATACAGCCTTGATGTACTCCTTTCTCAGTTTGGAACCAGTCTTTTGTTCCATATCTGGTTCTAACTGTTGCTTCTTGACCTGCATATAGGTTTCTCAAGAGGCAGGTGAGGTGGTCTGGCACTCCCATCTCTAAGAATTTTCCAGCTTGTTGTGATCCACATAGTCAAAAGCTTTAGCATAGTCAATAAAGCAGAAGTAGATGTTTTCCTGGAATTCTCTTGTTCTTGCTATGATCCAGTGGATGTCAGCAATTTGATCTCTAGTTCCTCTGACTTTCCTAAATCCAGCTTGAACATCTGGAAATTCTCTGTTCACATACTGTTGAAGCCTAGCTTGGAGAATTTTGAGCATTACTTTGCTTATATGTGAAATGAGTGCAATTGTGTGGTAGTTTGAACATTCTTCGGCATTGCCTTTCTTTGGGATTGGAATGAAAACTGACTTTTTCCAGTCCTGTGGCCACTGCTGAGTTTTTCAATTTGATGACATATTGAGTTTAGCACTTTAACAGAATCATCTTTTAGGAATCAACAAAAGCTTTCTTAAATAAGCCATTTAATTTTTTCATCTGAAACCTGACAGATACATAACATTTAGCCTGCTATAGTTTGGAAAGACAGAAGGTGAGAGTGATAGAACTGGTCAGAGAGGACAAGGGATTGGCTTAAGTCAAATGGTGGCTTCAGTGGAGTGAATTCATTAGAGTATAAAATTAGAAAATAAAAAGAGAGGATAGCTAGAGTTATAGGAAGGTACCTAAGAAATAACTTGAGAAATAAAGTACAACTCACATATTTTAAATGCCTTAAACTATTCAAATGTATTTTTATCTCTTTCTCAATAATTTTGATTTATCTCTTCTTTGTTGTTTAGTCGCTAAGTACTCTCTGACTTCTTTGAGACTCCATGAACTGTAGCCTGCCAGGCTCCTCTGTCCATGGGATTTCCCAGGAAAGAATACTGGAGTGGGTTGCTATTTCCTTCTCCAGGGAGTCTTCCCAACCCAAGTGTTGGACTCATGTCTCCTGCATTGGCAGGTGGATTCTTATCCCCTGAGCCATCAGAGAAGCCCAATTCATATATATTTTATATATTTTTCATAATTTATCATTTGTTTATGAATATCAAATAATTTCATTGGTTAACAAAATGTAAACACATAGAAGTTTCTCTAAATGTATTTACTCAATTATTAATATCATGAATAATAAGACATGCTTTCTATTCTCATGGAGTTAACAATCTATTATATATTTAGACTCATGATCTCCTGTAGTATCTTTCAGAATTTTATTGGAGTGTTTCCTTCTCAAGTGAGGTCTTCCATTATTATCCCCAAACTATCACCTCTTTTCCAATATGTTTTTCTTAGTTTTTAAAAACCACAATTTAGTATAGTATGCCCTTGACTTACTGGTTTACTGTCCTCCACCTCACTGTAATATAAATCCCGTGAGCCAAGAGGTAATTTACTTGCTATATTTGTTGCCTGCTCTATCCTCAGCATTTAGAACATAACCTGGCATAAAATTACGTGATCAGTAAATGCACATGAAATGAGTTAATTAAGGAATGTGTTGCTTTCATGGAAAAACACAAATAATTTTAAGATCTTGTGTACAAATTATACCTTTTAAGTTAGAGATCCCTTAAAAGGTGCATCCAATCCTTAAAATAAAATTGGCCAGAATTCTGAAAAAAAAAAATGTCAAATTTTCTACCTTCTCATGTATCTGTTATCATAGCTCAGCAATAGTGTGTCTCAGATTCAAACGTGCTAGTTGGACACAGGACCTTATTATCTGATATTGTGCACACTTTAAATTTCCTCATCCTTTAACCTCTTGTGTGAAGGAAGAACAGCATGAATGTGACTCTAAGGGGAGGCTTCCTGTGTGGGAGACATCACAGAGCAGTTAGACTCTCCCTACTCTGCTCATAAGGTCACTTTGCTAACTTTTTGGTTCATGAGACAGACTCCTTGCCAGAACTTGGAATACCAAACCATGAGGCATAAACCACGCAGAGGTGAGATGATCTCAGGGTAACTGGCCATAAGTACAGTTTAATAATTTATCCTGTGCTCTTGGGAATTAAGCTTCATTGCATGTTTTGTAGTAGATTTTGTAGATAGTTTTCTGTAAAGTATACATCTTGAACAATGATTACATTGATGATAAAGGGAGGATATTTGAGTTTTTTTTTTTCTTTTATCGCTTAATGAAATTTGGTCTACGAGGTACACAGATACATATACAAACACAAGCAAGAGACAAATGGTGCCTAGGGAACTTTTGGAATAAGTGTACATATTCTTATCATTAATTAAATTTTCTACCAGAAACATATGAATATAGTCATGTATCTTGTGCACTTATAATTTTTACTTGAATTTGTTTTCCATGTATGTATGTAAAGCTCAGTAGATTTTTCTGTGCCTCTATTTACACTTTTATAAAATGGGGATATATAACTTTATAGTTTCAATTATACAGAATTGTTGTGAGGATTAAATAAACAAATGCATATAAATACCTGGAATAGTACCTGGGACATTGTGAGTTGTTTGTTATTGTTATTAGATTATAGTCACTGACTATGTCTAAAAATGACAATAAATTCCCAGAAATTTAATGAAATGGATGAGCGCAAAGGCCTGCACATGTTTGGAGAGCTGAATATCAGATTGCCATACAGAGCACATTTTAATAATTATTTTTTGAGGAATTCTTTTTCATTGTTATTATTGTTTAACTCTAAATACATACAGATCAGCATGTTCTGGACAGGACATTTGACTTGATTTATAAAAATATCAGTTCAATGTGATCAACTCTTTGGTTATAAACAATGATAATAAACAATATAGATGTCTAGATTCAACAGCATCGAAACATGTATATTATCTAGGGTGAAACAGATCACCAGCCCAGGCTGGATGCATGAGACAAGTGTTCGGGCCTGGTGCACTGGGAAGACCCAGAGGAATTGGGTGGAGAGGGAGGTGGGAGGAGGGATCGGGATGGGAATACATGTAAATCCATGGCTGATTCATGTCAATGTGTGACAAAAACCACTACAATATTGTAAAGTAATTAGCCTCCAACTAATAAAAATAAATGGAAAAAAAAAACCCCAACAACTCAGAAGTTACTATTGTTGCCTTAATTTCTTAGCTATATGCCCAACTTTCTTTTTTCAACACTTTTATTCAATTGATAAGTTGAAGTTATTGTAGAATGTTACATTTATAAAGAAACATTGAAGATGTTGATTTTCAGTACACATATAGCAGTAAGTACTTAGTAAATTCTTGTCCATAAAGCATGATATTATATGGTTATTAATTGTTAAAGTCTTTTATTAAGATATCATTTTAGAATTATTAATATCTTTTAAAAACTGGTTATTAACCTCCATTTCAGTTGTAATACAGACTGTTATTTTATCCACTTATTATGAGAATGGATTTTGTTCCACTTTATTTCCCAGGAAATGATGGAGAGAAGACAGAGTATGTGAAGTTAACACGTGTTGCTCCTGATCGGTGGACAGGTGAGAGACCTGAAATATTTCAAGAAGAAGGTAAATATTTGCATATATATTTAGACTTCATAAGATATACTTTGGAGTTTCTGTTTACAGAAGCTGTCATACGTGTATGTGTGTGTGTGTGTGTGTGTGTGTGTGTTTGTATTCTTATTATCCTGGTTTAAATGGAAAAGTCCTATTATTCTCCAAAATTTAATTCTGGAGGATATGAAGAGAGGAAAGTTAAGTGTGAAATTGACAGTGTTAGCATTAATCAATATCTGTTTTGAAGCCTGTCTTCCTCGGACTCATTTCTATTCCATTCATATTATAATTAATCACACGCCTGTTGCAAAAGAACTGCCACAAGGCCAGGTTAAGTAATATATCATCAGTACTTAGAATAGTGCCTGGATATATGCTCAATAAATATATTTCAAATGAACTTTCATTCATTAATATAATCATTCATTTCTTCATTCAATGAACTTTTTTTTTGCATGGAATCATATGTTAAGCATTATGATAGGATTCATGCTTCATAGATAAAAGAGAGAAATTATGCCTTCAAGGATCTTACTGTGCACCAAGAGAGATGGCAAGTATACAGCTCTGAACAAATGATATATAAGAATATAAATGAGGTGATGAGAGAGCAAAGAAGGATACAGTTTTGGGTTAAGAATAAAAGTGGATTAAACAGAAAAGACTCCTTGATTGGGATAAGTCTGATGGAGAAGGAAGTGGAGGAATGTTCCAGGTGAAGCTAAGGCATAGACATGTTGGGGTGATGGAAGAGTAACCAGCAGGATTTGGATGGACTGAGGAGACTGAAGGCAGGGAGGCCAACCTCTTGCAAGGGATCTGGGAAAGAAATTGGTGTTCAGAATACAGCTGTGGCATTCGGGGTGGGAATGGGAGAACTTAGGAGAGAGACTTAATGGGGTAGAATCATCAGGTTTCTTAAATTGTAGGATGAGGGGAGTAAAAGGACAGAGAAATCAGGAAAAGGACAGAGAAATCAAGAAATCAAGATGATCTCTAGGCTTTTGACTTGGGAGACTTGGTCAATTATGGTGCCATTCAACAGGATATGAAAGGCAGGTGGAGGGGCCTCAAGGTGAGGAGGATAGCTTTGGACAATGTGTTTTCAATACTTGTGATGAATGTGTGAGCCTGCAGATTAGAAAACCAATAGTGTCTAAGTGTAGAAATTTGGAAGTCATTAAAGAGTCCAACACGACTGAGTGACCAACACACACAAACACAGGATGTAAGATTTGCTCTTCTTGGGCTCTAAAATCACTGCAGATGGTAACTGCAGCCATGAAATTAGAAGATGATTGCTTCTTGGCAGAAAAGTTACAACAAATGTGAACACTGTGTTAAAAAGCAAAGACATCTCTTTGTTGACAAAGGTCCATATAGTGAAGGCTATAGTCTTTGCAGTGGTCATGTATGGATGTGAGAGTTGGACCATAAAGAAGGCTGAGTGCCAAAGAACTGATGTTTTCAACCTGCGGTGTTGGAGAAGACTGTTGAGAATCCCTTGGACAGCAAGGAGATCCAACCAGTCCATCCTAAAGGAAATCAGTCCTGAATAGTCATTGGAAGGACTGATGCTGAAGCTGAAACTCCAATACTTTGGCCACCTGATGGGAAGAACTGACTCATTTGAAAAGACCCTGATGCTGGGAAAGATTGAAGGCAAAAGGAGAAGAGGGGAACAGAGGTTGAGATGGTTGGATGGCATCACTGATTCAGTCGATGTGAACTTGAGCAAACTCTGGGAGATGGTGAGGGACAGAGAAGCCTGGTGTGCTGCAGTCCATGGGGTTGTGAAGAACTGGACATGATTTGGCAATTGAACAACAAAAGGGATGTACGTGACAGATGAAGCCATGAGAGCAGACATCACTCATCAGCATAGTGCAGGGAACACTGCTCAATAATCTATAATAACCTAAATGGGGAAAGAATTTGAGAAAGAATAGATACATGTACATGCATAACTGAGTCACTTTGCTGTACACTTGAAACTAACACTTTTATTAATCAACTATACTCCAATATAAAATAAAAATTAAAAAAGGTTATGCAGATGAAGAGAAGGGGCCAAAGACAGATACTGAACACAAATCATTTGAGGATTGCACACACAGGGCTTCCCTGGTGGCTCAGCAGTGAAGAATCTGCCTGCCAATGGAGGAGACACAGTTTCGATCCTTGATGTGGGAAGATCCCATGTGGCAACTAAGGTGGTGCATCACAGCTTCTGAGCCTGTGCTCTCAAGCCCATGAGCCACAACTACTGAAGCCCGTGTACCTAGAGCCCCTTCTCTACAAGAGGAACCACTGCAATGAGAAGCCTGTGTGCCGCAACTAGAGAGTAGCCCATGCAGCAATGAAGACCAAACAATGCCAAAAAAAAAAAAAAAATTAAAGAAAAAAGATTGCACACACAAACACAAAAACAACTTGGAAGTGACATCAAGAAAACTATGAGTGTTAACAGGAAAGGAAGGAGGAATATCCTTTCTCCTCTTATCTCAGATGCAGGACTTTCTAGCTTCACAGAATAAATGGTGGATTGTCTCTCACTCTGACTTCATGCTACTTTTGTGTTTTTATTGTTTATAAGAATTTATGTAACATTAGGATAATCTGCTCTTTTAACTTTTAGGACTTGCTTTTAAAACAGTATGAAACTATTGCTTTCTTTGTGAGAATATTTTAGACTCATTTTCATTAATGGCTATGGGCAGGTATGAGATTCAAAATATTCACAACCAGCACGGCACAAGCTCAACCAACCTGAAAATACACCAGTCTGGAAACATCTGTTGTATCCTAGTATCTGTTAAACATAAAGAATTTTTCTTTAGGAGTAAGTTTGGTAAATTATATATTTCATTGAATTTGCTCATTTCATCTAAATTTTCAAATAAATTGTAACCCTTCAGCACTCTGTATCCCTCTTTCCTGAGTCATTTCTTACCATTTTCTACTAAACTATAATTTTTAAAAACTTATTTAATTATTACCCACCTTTCCTTCATGCCCCCCCACCCCACGTTGGTAATATTAGTTCCATAAGAATAAGGATTTTTTTTTTTAAACCTGCTTTATTTCTGATGCTTAGAATAGTAGCTGGACCACATTGTGTGCTCATAAATATTTGCTTAAATGAATAAGGCTTTTATTATCTTTGAATTCTCTTCTATTTTTGGTCTTTTCTCCATTCCTTATATGATTAATTCCTACCTTCTTTCTTTTTAACCATATAGTCAGGAATTTCATTACTCTTTTGAAAGAACCAGTTTTGAATGTGTAGATCCTGTTTTATGTTTATTTACTTTCTATTGAATGAATTTTGCTTATCATTTTTTTCTCCTAGTATCTTAAATTGAAATCATTTACATATATCCTTTATTAACATATACCCTTTATTTTTAAACACAAATATTTTTATCTTAATTTGCCATGTATTTTTCTACTTGGAAACAGATATATTCCCATTTTAGAAAAAAAAATACTGTCAATTCCAATATCTGAGGTAAATCACGTTTGTTACTTTGGCATATTTTTCTTTTGCACTTTTTTTCCTTTTGCTTGATTAGAAATAGTTCTGTATTCAATCTAGAGACTGGATTTTTTTTTCTTTACTTAAAATGTGATCTCAATACAATTTCTGCATTATTACCTTTGGACTAGTGTAGAGCTTCTACACTGTATGTATAGTGATATTGTGACTAGAGATTTATACACATAGTCATTTAAAAGTGTCCTTCAATGATGTCACTAAATATATAAATATTTCAAGTTATTTTTAAAAGAATGTCATGGTTTCGGGGCCCTTTTACACTTAAAAAATTCGAAGAACTTAACTAAGTATAAATTAACAATGCTAGAATATTTTCTTTCTTGATGTGGTCAATTGGAGAAATGCCCTGGACTTTGGAGAATGAAACAAGAGGACAGTAAAAAATTAAAAGCAAAACCAAATACAATTAGTTGTGTTTTATTTAAAAGTAAAGTGCTTACTGAGATGTGGAACTGCTGATTATATATTTTTGGAGCAGTACTAGGTCTCAGAACATTTCTGGGCAAAGCATAGTTACAGTCATCTTGGAATTCTCATTATAGCCCTCTATTCCTACTCTATTTAACAGAAACTTACTACAGGCAAGGTCCTCAGCACATTATACATATTAATCCATTAAGTTCTCATAGCTAATCAATGACTTAGAGCCTGTCATTATCTTCATTTTATAAAAAAAAAAAGTCATAAAGAATTTAAATAACTTGCCTAACCTAAGTCCCATAAATAAGTGATAGAACCAGGGTTAAACCTGGAAATCTTGGTTCTGGAACCCATGCTCTAAAATGCATGCTGAATCTCTTTTTATCTTAACCAGAGATGTTGCCAGATTCTAAAATCTGGGTAAGCAATCCTGAGGGTGGGTGGGGCTGTGGGGGTGCAATCTGTGCTCCTGATTGTCTGAGGAATAATGTTTCTTGATACAACACATCTCATCCTGGTCTGTATTTTTTTCTCTGAGATAATGATTATTCCTGCAATTGTCTCAATATGCTAATTAATGCTGAGGACATTTTCTTCTATAAAGCAACACAGAATAACAGGTTAAAAAGGCCTTACAGGAATGCAGGATTTCATTCTCAGCCTGAGATCCAAACAACTCAACAAATACCAAGAATTCCTGAACATGACAGAAATAAAGGTATGTGTGAGATTTTAAATTTCCATCATGCTCTGAATGTTAGACCATTGAGAATTTTTCATTACCTTCTAGGAGACCATAGAGAACACCAGAACTATTATTGTACCTAAATTTTAATGTGTCTTCTATGAGAAAAAATGCTCTTTAATCCTATTTATTCAAACTATGCAGTGTAGAAGTAATTATCTGGATGACTTCATTGGAGATTTTGAGGGCAGTGTGGAAGAGAGAATAGCTTATTTCTTGCAGGAAGCTCAGGGTTTTTCTGACTTTCAGGGATCCAACAGGTAGGTATTCTAAACTAAACTCAGATTATTTCTCTTAGAAAAATACCTGTTTTCCTCTAAAATAGCACCTCACTTCAAGTTATCATCACAAGAAGTTGGGGGCAAAGCTCAATGCATTTTGTAGTCAGAACTGGGTTTTAATATATTCCATCAATAATTAGCAATGTAATGGTAGACTTAAAAAATGCACAATGTGAGAGTTACAAGTTAAGTTTTATTTGAGGCAAAATGAGGACAGTAGCCCAGGAGACAGCACTTCAGATAACTCAGAAATTTCTCCAAAGAGACAGAAGGAAGGTCAGTATATATAGGATTTTTGTGAAGGGAGAGTAAATGCAATCAGGCACATATTTTCCCAGAAGATTTCTGCTAATCTCATGAGGAACAGTCATCACCATGAAGGATTTCAGTGCTTTTCTAGATAGGAGATAGAAGAATTGGGCTTATAAAATCAGCTTCTAAAAATATCTGACTATCTGAAGACCTGTTTTGCCAGTTTTCCCTCCCCGCCACCACCCCCCGCCCCCTCCCCGCCCTCCACCCCCTCCACACCAGAGCACAGGGTTGCCTCATTTCTGCTCTCCACCCTGAACTCCTTTCAGGGAGTGTTGAAAGTCAGCAGCTGGAGCTGTACATGATTTATTCCTTGCAGAGGTAGATGCCAGCAAGTGCCAATTTGTAACTGACCTAACAGTCGGCCAGTTACCTAATTACCAGTATCTACACCTCAGTTTCCTCATCTGTAAAATAAGAATAGTAACAATCTTAGAGCGATTGTTGGGACTAAATGAGATTATAAGAGCCATTACCACATGATAATCTTTCAATTTTTGAGAGTTATTACTAATTAAATATACAATTATATGCAAAGAATACTCCAAATAATACTTTCTTCCCAAAACTACACATTTTTCTTCTTGAGGTATGGAAAAGAAGAAATTTCTACCACGACAATTTCCACATAGTCAGTTTCTTAGTTTGTCCTTGAGTGATTCACTCAACTAATTAAAAATATTTTTCAGTAGTATGTGTCTACTTTGGGTCACTGTGCTAAAGGAAGACCGGTCAGACGACTTCTGTGATAGTTCAAACTAGATGTGACTGTGACTTGCCGAAGCAAAATGAAAGCAGGACATAAGATCAAGGTTGCCTTCAAATTTCTACCTGCTTTTTTCTTCAGAGGACTTTCTAGGACTTATAGTGTGTTTGCTATTTCTTCCCTTCTCCATTGCCGTAGTCTGGAATTTCTCCTTTAGCCTGTTTTTTTCTTTTTGAAGGTTTTTTTTTTTTTGCACGTGTACCCTTTTTAAAGTCTTTTATTGAATTTGTTACAATATTGCTTCTGTTTTATGTTTTGGTTTCTTGGCTGTGAAGCATGTGGGATCTTAGCTCCCTGACTAGGGATCAAACCTGCAGCCCCTGCATTGGAAGGCGAAGTCTTAACCACTGGACCACCAGGGAGTCCTTCCCTTAGCCTCTTTTTTAAAAAAATTAATTTATCTTTTTATTGAAGGATAATTGCTTTACAGAATTTTGCTGTTTTCTGTCAAACCTCAAAGTAAATCAGCCATAGCTATACATATATCCCCTCCCTTTTGAACCTCCCTCCCATCTCCCTCCCCATCCCACCCCTCTAGGTTGATACAGAGCCCCTGTTTCAGTTTTCTGAGCCATACAGCAAATTCCCGTTGGCTATCTATTTTACAAATAGTAATATAAATTTCCATGTTACTCTTTCCATACATTTTACTCTCTCCTCCCCTCTCCCCATATCCATAACTCTATTCTCTATGTATCTCCACTGTTGCCCTGTAAATAAATTCTTTCAGTACCATTTTTCTAGATTCCATATATATGTGTTAGAATATGGTATTTATCTTTTTCTTTCTGATTCACTTCAGTATGTATTATAGGTTCTAGGTTCATCCACCTCATTAGAACTGTCTCAAGTGCATTCCTTTTTATGGCTGATTAATGTTCCATTGTGTATATATACCTCCACTTCTTTATCCTTTCATCTGTCAATGGACATCTAGGTTGCTTCCATGTTCTAACTACTGTAAATAGCACTGCAATGAACATGTGTCTCTTTCAGTTTTGGTTTTCTTAGGGTATATGCTTAGGAGTGGGATTGTTGGGTCATGCGGTGGTTTTATTCCTAGTTTATTAAGGAATTTCCATACAGTCTTCCATAGTGGCTGTATCAATTTACATTCCCCCCAACAGTGCAAGAGTGTTCTCTTTTCTCCACACCCTTTTCAGCACTTACTGTTTGTAGACATTTTGATGAGGGCCATTCTGACTGGTGTGAGGTGATACCTCATTGTAGTTTTGATTTTTATTTCTCTAATAATGAGCAAAGTTGAGCATCTTTTCAGGTGTTTGCTAGCCATCTATATGTCTTCTTTGGAGAAATGTCTGTTTAGGTGATCTTACCACTTTTTGATTGGGTTGTTTGTTTTTCTGGTATTGAGTTGTATGAGCTACTTGTATATTTTGGAAATTAATCCTTTGTCAGTTATTTCATTTTCTATTATTTTCTCCCATTCTGAGGGTTTTCTTTTCACCTTGCTTATAGTTTCCTTTGCTGTGCAAAAGCTTTTAAGTTGAATCAGGTCCCTCTTGTTTACTTTTATTTTTATTTCTGTTACTGTAGGAGGTGGGTCATAGAGGATCTTGCTTTGACTTTTGTCATTGAGTGTTCTGCTTATGTTTTCCTCTAAGAGTTTTATAGTTTCTGGTCTTACATTTAGGTCTTTAATCCATTTTGAGTTTATCTTTCTGTATGATGTTAGGAAGTATTCTAATTTCATTCTTTTGCTTGTAGCTATCCATTTATCCCAGCACCATTTATTGAACAGGCTATCTTTGCCCTATTGCATATTCTTGCCTCCTTTGTCAAAAATAAGGTACCCATAGGTGCATGGGTTTATTTCTGAGTTTTCTATCTTGTTCCATTGGCCTATATTTCTGTTTTTGTGCCATTACCATACTGTCTTGATGACTGTCGCTTTGTAGTATAACCTGAAGTCAGGAAGCTTGCTTCCTCCAGCTCAAGCTTGCTTCCTCCAGCTCCATTCTTCTTTCTCAAGACTGCTTTGGCTGTTTGGCGTCTTTTGTTTTTCCATATGAATTGTGAAATTTTTTGTTCTAGTTCTGTGAAAAATGCCATTGGTAATTTGATAGGGATTGCATTGAATCTGTAGATTGCGTTTGGTAGCATGGTCATTTTCACAATATTGATTCTTCCCACCCAGGAACATGGGCTCTCTCTCTGTCTGCTTATGTCATCTTTGATTTCTTTTATCAGTGTCTTATAATTCTCTGTGTACAGTTCTTTCATCTTCTTAGGTAAGTTTATTCCTAGATATTTAATTCTTTTTGTTGCAACGGTGAATGGGATTGATTCCTTAGTTGTTCTTTCTGATTTTTCATTGTTAGTATATAGAAATGCAAGCGGTTTCTTCCCTTAGTCTTTCAGTTGAATCTTGACTAGGTCTTAATTGACTATAGTAATTAGTATTTCTTAGCTCTATGTTTATTTACTCAGAGAGACTCTCTTACTACATGACTCCTCTGAATACCAACTAGGAAGCGATCCAGTAGTCATCTAAATTTTAAAATCAATATTGTTATTATTGGTATTTTTCTTTTCTACCCTAGAAGTAATAAGACTTAAGAGGAAGTAGGAAATGGAAACCTACTGCAGTATTCTCATCTGGAATATTCCATGGACAGAGGAGCCTGGAGGACTACAGTTCATGGGGTCACAAAGACATGACTGAACACACATGCACAGTTCCAAATAAGGGAAATACCATGCATATTGTAAGATAAGAACGAACAGATTGGTGATTTTAAAAAAGTAAATGTTACTTTGGAAAGAAAAGGAAAAATTACATCCCCTTCCCCTCATTTCCATTACATCTCTAAATAATGTTTAAATTGGGAGCACCAATGATTTAAAAACAGAGGCAAATACTTCTAATAGATAGTAAGCTTTTTTTAAAAAAATAAGTGAAATGATACCCCTGTGAACTGAGTGGGTTACAATAGCTACTTCATGACAGTGCTAATTCATTCTTAACCTGTATGCTTTTGTGAGACAAAAGCTCAGATAATATTACCTAGATTGTAGCCTTGCACCATTTTATCTTCAGTTTACACATTCTTTTGACAGTGTTCCAAGCAGCATCTTCTGGATGTATTGTGGCAGTAATACTAGGAATTGTATGTGTCATCCTTTTGGGAGTATCAGGATTTTTTGCTACTAAGTGTAAGTGTTCTACAGAAACTTGATTCCCTTTTTATTTATTTATTTTTTTAATTGGAGGATAATTGCTTTACCAAATTTTCTTGTTTTCTGTCAAACCTTAACATGAATCAGCCATAGGTATAATACATATATCCCCTCCATTTTGATCCTCCTTCCCATCTGGCTCCCAAATCCTCCCCCCACTGCCCCAGAGCTGCCCCAGGTTGATACAGAGGCCCTGTTTGAGCTTCTTAGCCTTTCAGCAAATTCCCATTGGCTATCTTTTTTATATATGGTAATGTAAGTTTCCATGTTACTCTTTCCATACATCTCACCCTCTTCTCCCCTCTCCCCATGTCCATAAGTCTATTCTCTATGTCTGTTTCTTCATTGTTGCCCTGTAAGTAAATTCTTCAGTACCATTTTTCTAGATTCTATACAGGTGTGTTAGAATATGATAATATGATATATATCTCTCTCTTTCTGATGTACTTGACTCTGTGTAATAAGTTCTAGATTCATCCACCTCAGAACTGACTCAAACCCATTCCTTTTTATGGCTGAGTAATATTTCACTGTGTATATATACCACAACTCCTTTATCCATTCATCTGTTGATGCACATCTAGGTTTCTTCCATGTTCTAGCTATTGTAAATAGTGCTGCAATGAGCAATGTGATACATGTGTCTTTTTCAATTTTGGTTCCTCAGGGTATATGCCTAGGAGTGGGATTGCTGGGTTATACAGTGTTTTTATTCCTCATTTTTTAAGGAATCTCCATTCTATCTTCCATAGTGGTTGTATCAATTTACATTCCGACCAACAGTGCAAGAGGGTTCCCTTTCCTCCACGCCTTCTCCAGCATTTATTGTCTGTAGACTTTTTTTTTTGAACAATAGAAATATTTTTATTTTATTATTATGTCTATTATCTGTCTTAATAAGCCATAGTCCCAGGGACCTAAGATACTATTAAATTCAGCATTCTCTCATTATTCTTTTTTTTTAAATTTATTTTTATTAGTTCGAGGTTAATTACTTTACAATATTGTAGTGGGTTTTGTCATACATTGACATGAATCAGCCATGGATTTACATGTATTCCCCATCCAGATCCCCCCTCCCACCTCTCTCTCTACCCAATCCCTCTGGGTCTTCCCAGTGCACCAGGCCTGAGCACTTGTTTGTAGACTTTTTGATGGCAGCCATTCTGACCGGTGTGAGGTGATATTCATTGTGGGTTTGATTTGCATTTCTTTGATAATGAGTGATGTTGAGCATCTTTTCATGTGTTTGTTAGCCATCTGTATGTCTTCTTTGGAGAAATGTCTGTTTATGTATTTTTCCCATGTTTTGATTAGGTTGAGAAACTTCATTCTTTATGTTAAATTTTATCTAAACGTTTTGTTGTTTCCTAAAAGGAGAGCCATGGTTAAATCTAATGAGATAATCAAACTCTGACATCAGAAACATTCTTATTTCCAGATGTTTCTCAGGACTTGAGACAATAATATTCATGAGTCCAAAGAAGAAATTCTTTTTCAAGATTAAATTTAATTTTTAGTTTTTAATATTTTTTTATATGGAATATAACTGACATCCAGTATTGTGTTAGTTTCAGGTGATATTGGCATAGCTTCCCAGGTGGCACTTGCGTCAAAGAATCCGTCTGCAAATGCAGGAGATAAAAGAGACATGGGTTCGATCTATGGGTCAGGAAGAACCCCTGGAGGAGGAAATGGCAACCCTCTCCAGTATTCTTGCCTAGAGAATTCCATGGACAGAGGAGCCTGGCATACTACAGTCCATGGGGTCACAAAGAGTCAGACACAACTGAGTGACTAAACAACAACACAGCCTTTTCAGATTGCTGTTTAGTCTTGTGAAGGGGACTAAAGTCAAGAATGAACTATCTTGACATTTGATGATTTCACTCTCTCATACAGTTTCTAAAATATGAGAAATAAAATTGCAATCATAGGAGAAGATTTTTAATTTTTTTCTGATTTTAATATTATATATATTTTCTTCATTTTGAAAATGAAAATTTTAGTGTAACAAGTTTATTTTACCTGTTAAACTAACTGTGTTCTGCTGATGATTTTCAGATTTTCAAAATTCTTTTAATTATCAGAACATGTTGGATAATAACATGCAGGAATATGATCAGAACATGTTGGATAATGACACACAGGAACATGAGAAATCCAGGACTCCTATGAAAAATAAATGCTTTTCAAAGGATCAGTTAAACTCAGGTATGTAGTAATATACAAGAACTCATAATTAAACATTGGTATAATGAGTTATTGCCAGGTAATCTCCATTGTAATATTAAACTCATGATCTACAAAAGTGACGTATGATAGAGGTATTTTTCATTCAAGAAGATACAATTTCTTGCCACATGGTCTGCCTGCATCTTTGAACTGGAGAGAATCAAAATTTAGTAGTTTCTGTTTATTGGTCTGACTTTGCAAATAAGAAGTGAAAGAATTTTTGAGTTTCTTTCAGAGTCATATCAATCAGCAAATGAAATCTTTCGTTGCCTTTAATTTATATGGTATGCATAAGATATAGTATAATTGCTTAGTAGTTTCCTACTTCTTTATAAGACAGTATTTTCCCCTGATCCTCTGTGAAATGATACTGTCTTATGGCACTTCCCAGGTGGCTCAGTGGTGAAGAATCTGCCTGTCAATGCACGATATGTGGGTTCGATTGTTGGGTTGGGAAGATCTGGAGAAGGAAATGGTCACCCATTCCAGTATTCTTGCCTGGGAAATCCCAAGGACAGAGGAACCTGGCAGGCTCCTTGGGGTTGCATGGGGTTGCAAAAACAGTCGGGTAAGGTTTAAGGGACCAAATAGCAACAACTGTCCCATTTATGACTTTGCTAATTCAAGTTCCTTGAAACCTATCCCAACTCCTGACTTGGTCATATGGGTAAAATTCACCTTGCAAGCAATCCCACCCTATCTCTCAAAGTCATGGATAACCTGAAAATTCAGAGAACTTCCCTGAAGTTTCTCCAGGCCAACAGTCAATACAATAAGACTCTCTTCTATATCCATCTACCAGTTGTGATAAGCACTCTGGTGGGACTTTAACCTCCTGTCTGTTTTGCTTATCATTAACAACTAGTTGCTTAAAATATTCTTGTTAGAATATAATTTAGTTACTTTGGTTTTGTCTTCTACAAAAATACTTTATAGTTGCTTTTTTAGTAACTGTATTTTTTGTTCTTGCATTTTCAGATGGCAAAGTTTGATGGGTAGGAGAAAGGAGAAATGGATTATTTTCTTTCTTTAAACTAATAATTGCTGTTGTTGTGCTTTAGTCACCAAGTCATGTCCAACTGTTTGTAACCTCATGGACTGTAGCCCACCAGGTTTCTCTGTCCATGGGATTTCCCGGGCAAGAATACTGGAGTGGGTTTCCTTTTCCTCATCTAGTGGATCTTCTTGACCCAGGGATCGAACCTTTGTCTCTTTTGTCTCCTGCATTGGTGTGCGAATTCTTTACCACTGACCCATCAGAGAAGCCCAAACTAATGATCACTGTACTTTGATGAAACTAGAGAGTTCCTGGAGGAAAAGCATTGTTAGTATTGATACAAAAATTAAATATCAAAAGCAATACAGTTTTTACGCTCTTAAATATTTCCTACTTTTGCATTCATGTCCTGGTGCCCATGGCATTTTGGAGAAAACTTTGCAGAAAAAGAAAAGTACTCTTTCCCTCTCAACGACAGATACGTTATTTTGCCTTTTGAGTTGGCAATGATGTCCTCAGAGCTCATGGAAAGTAATAAAAACTGTAGAGCTGGAAAGGATGCCTGGAGCAAAACTTTCCAGGAAAAGAATTAGACTAACTTAAAAACTGCTTCTTTTTTTTTTTTTTTAAAGAAAAGTACAGGGAAGAATACAAAAACAAATGGTCTTGCTGTGAAGAGAAATGCTACTATTTTTCTGATATACATAAAACCTTCGAAGAGAGTCGGAAATTCTGCACCAACCAGGGCTCCCATCTGTTGAAGATAGAAGATGAGGATGAACAGGTAATGAGTTCTGAAGTTGGAAATTTTCCCCATATTTTTTTGTATGCAAGAGAAAATTGCTAAAAATTTTTTAAGAACATCTGAAAATCGTGTGTTTGTTAAATGACAATGACTTGTCTTTTCAAGTCAAATAGAAAACTTTGTAGTAAATAAAAAGAATTCCTTGTTGGTGGGAATTATAGTGTCTCAGTTTTAGCTCTGTCTCAGAAAAAGCATTAAGTTCTGGTAATGATGCTCTGTGTCTGCTCTAGGAAGCAAACTGAGGTTTCTGAACAAAAAGGCATCTCTCATGAAACCATCATGGGATTTGCCCTTTTTTTCATGTTGCTGTGTTTTGAAGTCCTATTATAATAATGGATCTTTTAATATGTTGATACTTTTGGCACATATTGGAGTGGGTAGCCGTTCCCTTCTCCAGGGGATCTTCCCAAAGCAGAGATCAAACCTCCATCTCTTGTGTTTCCTTCCACCAGGGAAGCCCAAGGAATGATTAGGCAACAATAAACAACCCTAGCTGAAAATGTAAAGAAAATGTTATGGTAAAAATCAAATTATAATTGTTTGTGTTCACATTCTTTTCTTTTTATTTTGTATCGGGGTGTAGCCAATTAACACACAATGTTGTGGCAGTTTCAGATGAACAGCAAAGGGACTCAGCCATAACTCTACACGTATGCACTCTCCCCCAGACTTCCCTCTCATTCAGGCTGCCACATAACATTGAGCAGAGTTCCATGTTCTAGGTCCTTCTTGGTTATCCATGTTAAATATGGCAGTGTGTGTTCATGTTATTTTCATTTTTTATTGTTAAAAAAGAGACTAGGGATTAAATTACATGTAGGGTTCTTCCTCCACAGGAATTTATTCAGTCTTTGGTGTCTTATTTTTCTTGGATTGGATTATCTCGAAAAGGAATTGTCAGCCCCTGGAAGTGGGAAGATGGTTCTTTGCTACACTATAAACTGTAAGTATCCAAAGCACTTGAAAGCTTTAGTTTACTTGTTAACTATGGAAATGAATTGGATAGATAAGTTTCACTAAGCAAGATTTTCTGACCTCAAGAGCAATTCTAAGACTAATTTTAATTTTGTAAAATATCCTTGGCATTAGAAAAAGCACTTCTGACTTCCATGCTTCTGTACTTGTATTCATGTGGTTTCCTCAACCAGTAATACTTTCAGTTAAAGTTTGTTTTCTCTTTGAAGTCATTCTTTTTTTTTTTTATTAGTTGGAGGCTAATCACTTCACAACATTGTAGTGGGTTTTGTCATACATTGACATGAATCAGCCATGGATTTACATTTGTTCCCCATCCCGATCCCCCCTCCCACCTCCCTCTCTGCCCGATCCCTCTGGGTCTTCCCAGTGCACCAGGTCGGAGCACTTGTCTCATGCATCCAACCTGGGCTGGTGATCTGTTTCACCCTAGATAATATACATGTTTCGATGCTGTTCTCTTGAAACATCCCACCCTCGCCTTCTCCCACAGAGTCCAAATGTCTGTTCTATACATCTGTGTCTCTCTGTCTGTTTTGCAATAGGGTTATCTGAAGTCATTCTTGATCTCCTGCTTTGAAATTAGTTCCCCTTTTATGCTCCTAAATAGCATTTTGCTTTGTCTTCTACCATCTCACATCCAATCTAGAATACTCTGTTTCTCATCTTTTGTTAATCCACAGCACAAAACACATAAACACATAATTGATGGTTGCTTAGCAATTTAAAAATTATCAATATGGATATTAATGAATTTTCTAGACATAAATAGAGGGTAGCTGGAAATGTAGGGTTTCAGTCACTAGTTGCTGTTGTTGTTGTTTTAGTAGCTAGATTGTTGTGACTCTGAGATCCCATAGACTATATACCCCCAGTCTCCTCTGTCTATGGGATTTCCCACGCAAGAATATCGGAGTGGCTTGTCATTCGCCGCGCCCCCCCCCCCGCCCATCCAGGGGATCTACCCCATCCAGGTATTGAACCCATTTCTCCTGCATTGGCAGGCAGATTCTTTACTGCTTCACCACCAGGGAAGCCCTCAATGAATATTTCCATCATCTAAATCAAATATCTTCATTGTTTATCTAGATTTCTTCACTGTCTAGCAAAGCCCATTTCATATTACAAATAGTATACACCATTAAGAAGCAATCTGAAAATGAATTGGATTGGACTCTGTGTCCTATGTTTTTCCTCATTTTTCATGATGAGTTTTCTACCATAATCTTTAAGATTATATATATATTTTTTCTCCACAGATACTATTAATAAATAAATTAAAAAGTCTTAACAACTATTAATGACAGAGACGGGCTGAGGACCAGGTCACCTACTTCTGAATTTGGTCCTTTTTACACTACACTAGTGTTTAAAGTGCTTTTTTATTTGCTATAATAAACGCTTGTTCCAAATTTGCAGTTAATCACATGAGATACACTCTTTTATATTTCTGCACAGTTGCACATAGTATATCCTTTGTCTGGATTATCTGTAGTTTCACTCTTCATCTGGTTAGATCCTAATCATTAATTTATTTTATTTTTAGTTGCTTGGTAGCTCAGTCAGTAAAGAATCTGCCTGCAATGCAGGAGACCAGGGTTTGATCTCCGGGTCAGGAAGATCCCCCGGGGAAGGAAATGGCAACCCACTCCAGTATTCTTGCCTGGAAAATGCTATGAACAGAGGAGCCTGGCAGGCTACAGTTCATGGGGTCGGAAGAGTTGGACATGGCTTAGCAACTAAACCACCACCACTGTAGTTGCTTTATATGCTGTGTGTTTCTACTGCACAGAGAAGTCAGTCAGCTATGTATATACACGTAAATCTCACATCAACACAAATCCCCTCCTTTTTGGATTTCTTTTCCATTTAGGTCACCACGGAGCATTGAGGAGGGTTCCCTGTGCTATACAGGAGGTTCTTATTAGTGACCTATTTTATACATAGTAGGAATAGTGTATATATGTCAGTCCCAACCTCCCAATTCATCCCACCCAGCCACGTTTCCCCTTTGGTGTCCAAATGTTGGTTTTCTATATCTGTGTCTCTATTTCTACCTTCACCAATTTTTTCAGATTCCGTATATGTGTGTTAATGTACAATATATGTGTTTTTTTCTTTCGGACTTTCTTCATTCTGTATGACAGTCTCTAGGTCTATTCACGTCTCTACAAATGACCCAAGTTCATTCTTTTTTATAGCTGAGTAATATTCTATGGTATATATGTACTATATCTTGTTTATCCTTTCCTCTGTTGATGGACATTATTTCCATATCCTGTCTATTGTAAATAATGCTGCAAAGAACATTGGGTACATGCATCTTTTTAATTATGGTTTTTTCTGGGTCACTAATTTATGAGATAATTATATCATTTATTTATTTGTGCATACATTGATTTAATCACTCATAAACCATGCATCACATTCTATGTAGGGGTTCTGCACTAAATGGCATGTCTTCCTTAAGACTCAGCTAAAATCTTCCCACGGCAAAACTGTGTTCCCTGGCAAACTCTTTCCCCTTGTCTGAGTTAGAATCCACTCCTCTGTGCCAAGTGAATGCATCTTTCCCTCTCTTTGTGTAAACTCCTTGGGGACTGAAATAGATTTTCTCTGTATCTGTATTCCAGAATCTTAGCAATATGATAATACTTTAGAAATGTTTGTTAAGTGAATAAACAGAGAGATAGCTAAACATATAATCCCTCCTTGTCTATAGTAGTATATCTACTGGAAATATGATTTATGTCTGAATATTAGACTCAATTTTTCTTTTTCCCCTCTTTAACAGAAATCTGCAGAATTCAAACATAAACAACAACAACTGTGCATATGTCACAGCAAACAAAGTAGTTGCCTCAGTGTGCACCAAGCAACTTTTCTTTATTTGTGAGAAGAATTATACTTAGTGTTGATCTCAAACTGGCAGAAGAGAAATGAAGTATGGTGCATCTACTTTTTACCTGCAACATGCAAGTCAATATCGTGTGTTCCTGACGCTGGTCTGTTTGTTAAGTAAATTGCATATGTAAGATAACTTATAAATTGATGTAGATATTTTGAATGTCAGAGCTTCATCTGCATGGGGAGGAGGTTGACAAGCACCTTCTTTGACTTGATTCCAAGTGGAATTAATTTTGATGAAAAGATGAAGATTTAATTCAGAAACTATTAATGATTTTCTTTTCCCCTCTATTTTGGTTGGATTTTCCGGCAACATATGGTATCCCTCATATATGTTGTGAAGAAATAGTCCATACACTGAGCTACTTTTTAACTGATGTTCAGGAAATCAAAATGAAACATGATATGACTATGTACATCCATTTTTATTTTTTTGAGAAGTATATTTGTACTTTCAGAGAGGATTGCCATTTCTGCACTTCCACTTTATCACTTTTAAAATTCAAGATTTTCACAATTAATGTAAGAATTCATAGTTGAAAAAAAAATAATAAAAGCACATTGAATAAAAACTGATTCCATAATCCTTTCTCCTAATTTTTTTACCTTTTCAGTTACACTATTAACATTTTGGATTGTATCTTTCCAGACAGTTTTGGCTAGCGTTTTGCTATAGAAAATGTTAAACCTGAAACTTTATTACACATACATCTCTGTGAATGTATTTGAATATTCTATAAGGTAGAAATAGAGAAGAGAAACTTCCATGTCAAATAGTGTGCATCTTATAAATCCTCAACTATAGATACTGTCTACAAAAGCTGTTAATTAGTACCCACATATACAATACATGTATACCTTTCTTCATACCCTTACTGATATATTATATTATCAATTCTTAATAGGCACAGATGTTCTTTTATTGTTTTAACTAACTCTTTCAATAATACCTGTGAGATAGAGCACCTGTTTTGTTACTTGTCAATTATTCCATGAGTGGCTATTTTATTTTCTTTCTTTATTATTTTTCTGTTTGTCTTCCTCCTTTTCTTTACTGATTATAGAAAGTACTTATGTCTTTTTGTATTTTCACTCAGCATATTTTTATTACTTTAAAACTTAGTTTTTCACGATTTTTATCATATGTATAATATATAAGACAATATTTTTCTTTACGACACTTAGTATTCATGCTTCACTTAAGGAGGTCTTTTCTCTCTAAAACTTAAAATAATCTTTTATCTTTATATTATTTTAGGGAACTTTTAATTTCTGGAATAGTTGAGGGTTTCTATGTACTGTAGTGAGCAGTTACTTGAATTTTAATTAACATTAAATTTATTGAAGTACTTGTCTCTTTGAAAACTGACATATCAAACTGACAATTTAGTGAAGAGAACTCAAATATTTTTTCTTTCTTTTCAAACTTTTTATTTTATAATGAAGTACAGCCAATTAACAATGTGACAGTTTCAGGTGGACAGCAAAGGGACTCAGCCACACATATGCACGTACCCAGTTCAGTTCAGTTTAGTTGCTCAGTCATGTCCAACTCTTTGTGACCCCATGGACTGCAGCATGCCAGGCTTCCCTGTCCATCACCAACATCTGGAGTTTACTCAAACTCATCTCCATACAGTCAGTTATGACATCCAACCATCTCATCCTCTGACATCCCCTTCTCCTCCTGCCCTCAATCTTTCCCAGCAGCAGGGTCTTTTCAAATGAGTCAGCTCTTCACATCAGATGGCCAGAGTATTGGAGCTTCAGCTTTAATATCATTCCTTCCAAAGAACACCCAGGACTGATCTTCTTTAGGATAGACTAGTTGGATCTCCTTGCAGTCCAAAGGACTCTTAAGGGTCTTCTCCAACACCACAGTTCAAAAGCATCAATTCTCCAGCGCTTAGCTTTCTTTACAATCCAACTCTCACATCCATACATGACTACTGGAAGAGCCATAGCCTTGTCTAGGCAGACCTTTGTTGGCAAAGTAATGTCCCTGCTTTCTAATATGCTGTCTAGGTTGGTCATAACTTTCCTTCCAAGGAGGAAGCGTCTTTTAATTTCATGGCTGCAGTCATCATCTGCAGTGATTTTGGACCCCAGGAAAATGAAGTCAGCCACTGTTTCCATTGTTCCCCATCTATTTGCCATGAAGTGATGGGATTGGATGCCATGATCTTAATTTTCTGAATGTTGAGTTTTAAGCCAACTTTCCACTCTCCTCTTTCGCTTTCATCAAGAGGCTCTTTAGTTCTTCACCTTGTGCCATTAGGGTGGTGTCATCTGCAAATGTGAGGTTACATGTATCCATTCTCCTCCAACTGCCCTCCCCCTTAGGCTGCCATATAACATTTAGCAGAGTTTCCTGTGCTATATAGTAGGTCCTGTTGATTATCCATTTTAAATATAGCAGTGTGTACATGCCAATCCCAAACTCTCTATCCCTGTAGAATTCAAATATTTTAAAGCAGAGCCTCTCACAGAAGACAAATTAGCAGCTACTTATAGACAACATTTTGACAAAAATCCCAGAAGACAGGACAGAGGCTCAAGTACTCCGCTGGTTCACAAAGATGGAGGATTGCATAGAAGGATGAGAAGAATGGTCACAGTCTGACCACTTTTCCCTCCCCCAGGTTAGCACTGCAGAGGGTCTTCCTAAACCTACAGCTTCTCCCAGTGGGTAAAAGAGAGCCCCGGGTGGACATCCAGCTCCCCAGCACTGTGGGTCACTTCCTGGGTGACTCCTCTGGGTCTTGCATCAAGAAGATGCAAGAATCTGTGGGGCTTCAGTATGGACATCAGATTGGAGCAGAGAAAGGACATGGAGCTTAGTGCTGGAGCAAGCAGCACTTGCATCTCGGCAGACCATATTTCTCCTCACAGTGGTGCCTGAGTAGAGATCCCAGCCAGCAGCTGAGTCCATTTGTACAGGGCTTCCCTGGTGGCTCAGATGGTAAGGAATCTGCCTGCAATGCAGGAGACCTGGATTCGATCCCTGGGTTGGGAAGATCCCCTGGAGGCGGGCATGTATTCTTGCCTGGAGAATCCCCATGGACAAAGGAGCCTGGTGGGCTAGAGTCCATGGGGTCACCAAGAGTCGGACACAACTGAGCGACTAAGCACACAGGCACACATACACACACACACCCCAACCTCTGGGATCTAATGTCTGATGACCTGAAGTGGAACTGATGCAGTAATAACAGATATAAAGTGCACAATAAATGCAATGTGCTTGAATGATTTTGAAACCATCCCCTCCATCCCAGTCCATGAAAAAATTGTCTTCGTGAAACTGGCCCCTGGTGCCAAAAGGTTGGGGACCACTGTAATTTGCAGATATAACATGAGGCTCTGTCTGCCAGAAAACTCTCTGTTTAGTTCTGCCTATTTTGGGCATCTAATCAATAAAGATATTGGAAGGGCTGATGCTGAAGCTGAAACTCCAATACTTTGGCCACCTAATGCGAAGAGCTGACTCATTGGAAAAGACCCTGATGCTGGGAAAGATTGAAGGCAGGAGGAGAAGAGGATGACAGAGGATGAGATGGTTGGATGGCATTACTGACTCAGTGGACATGAGTTTGAGTGAACTCCAGGAGCTGTTGATGGACAGGGAAGCCTGGCATCCTGCAGCCCATGGGGTGCAAAGAGTCGGACATGACTGAGTGACTGAACAACAACAAATTACAAGATATGCAGGCCTGTTCTGCTGTCTCTCTCAGATTGCATAGCCTCCCTACCATTGAATACAGCCCCCAGTCCTACCCAACCAGGAAACATAACCATAGCATCTGGGAAGTTGTGTAGTTAAGCTCTAGTCTGCCTACAGTGGCAATTGAGGAGCCAATCCAGCCAATAGAGCTGAGCTGATGGCCCTGTCTGACCAGGATGATTAATGTAAAATTCTGCCTCATTTGGGTCTCCAGCTGGCCAGCTGACCCTTTCTTTGAGCCTTATTTGTCACCCTGCTTTACAGGAAATTGGGTTTGTGGCTCTACATATTGCAAAGAGTAGCTTTGAGTCCCATTCAACAGTGCCTGACCAAAGCATCTTGGACTCTGCATAGCTCACCCTTCAGCCTGGTTTGAAGTAAATGCCTGAGCATAGAGCACAGCCCATCTGAGCTGAGCAGCTCTGCCCATTTTCTTCATCTGTCAGGGGCGCCCAGTCAACAGTCCTTCCCAATGTGGGTCCCCAGCCAAGAAGCTGTACCAGCATGGAAGCTGTTGTTCTATGGCTCTGACTGGATTGGACACAGATTCAAAGATGGTCTGTGGCTGAAGATAGGCTCTAGCTCCAGCCAACCAGGAAGCCTAATCAGAACATCTGGCTTATCCCATAGCCCGTCTTATAATAACAGTATAGCTTATCTAATATAGCTTATCCCATAGCCCATCTTATGATAACACTTATGAAAAAGCCGAGGCAATATTTCTGCCTACCTGCACAGCTGAGTCTGTGGCCCCATCTGGCTTAGGAGTTTTGTGGGCAGCTCTACTAGATGTAGGTACCAAGTTATTGAGCTGCAATCCTACGGTCCTCAATTCAGGCCCTGTCCAGGCAGGCAAGCAAGTTTACAGACCTGCGCAGCAGCTGAGTAGAATAGATAGTCCCTAGGAAGTCTGAACTAGGAAGTCTGAACAGAGTGTATGAGCAGCCACAGAGCCCATCTTACAATTGCCTGGGCAAAAAATTAAGGCGGTAGTCCTATTCAATTGTTCTCAGCCACTGGCATCATGCAACCTCAGAGCTCAGGGGATGCCCTGGCCCAAATAGAAACCCCAGTGGCAAACCTTACCTAAGAATGCTGCCAGCTGACCCATCCAGACCCCCAAGCTGAACTGACTGATGTAGGATGATCTCTTTCAAATGAAACATGTAAAGTCTGGGTGAGAAGATGGCTTACTCAAGTGTGCAAATACCAAGGATAATGGATGGTAAAGAATCATGTAAAGATGACATCAATAAGGGAAACTAGTATAGCTCCAATAAC